CTGGCCTCCGGGTTCAGTAGGTTGAGTGTCATCCCATGCATCACAATTTCCCCTGTTCAGTTCCTGGTCAGGGCACAATGCCCAGGTTGCTGGCTCAACCCCCACATCCCCAATAGGAGGCAGCCGATTGATGGTTCTCTCTCCCTCTCCTTTCCTCTCTAAAATCAATAAAAACATATTCTTTTAGAAGCTAATAAAAACTCCAAGTGGTCACCTAGAATGACAGAAGTTCTGCTCCTTTACCTTTCACTGCTGAATTCTAAGCTGCTTACACCGCAGGGAGAGGTGGTGTCTCGGAGACTGGAGACACCACTGTGGCCAGCGTAAGTTCCAACCACTCTGAACCCTAAAAACTTACCTGACAGCAAACAGTGCAGCCAAGTGCGCATGTGTTAGGGGCTGGCAACCCAAATGAGAGTCCTCCGAATTAACTTCCAGGCAGAATACAATGTTTGTTCAAGGATAAGTAATTTTTAAATGTGCTGATTTGAAGTTTACTCAACAGCAATCTTTTTTTTTAGAGCAATATAGATTTTTTTTTTCAAGGAAGAGTATTTCGCCTCTAACATTGTTTAGGATTGCTGGGGCACGGTGACAACTGACTTTTACTAGTTTTGTTATTGTTTTTAAATCCTGTGCAGACAGCGCCCCCTTATGGCCTGCACTGGGTATGCACCCTGGCACTGCCTGGCTGTCTCATTAGGGCAGATCTTCCTAACCTGGCACAAAGGGAGCGAATACACCTGCTATGGCACTTGCCTCCAGGCTCCAGGGAACTGACTCAAAACACTTCAACAGCGCCTGCTTAGAGAATAGTCTACCTGCCACGAACTACAGGTATGTCCATAGGAAATTCAGTGGAATGCCCCTCCTGTCTTCAAAGTCACTAATAACCACTTTGTCCAGGAGAAGGCGAGACACAGAGCCCTGGAGTGAGGCAAAATAAACTTCACCCCAGCCCAGCACAAGCTGGGCTTGCGGGCTCAATCCCCAGTAGGGGGCGTGCAGGAGGCAGCTGGTCATTGATTTTCTCTCATCGTTGATGTTTCTCTCTCCCCCGCTCCCTTCCTCTCTGAAATCAATAAGAACATATTTAAAAAATAAGAAAAAAATAACTTCATCCCATACTGGGTGGTGGACCTTTACAATCATGTATATAACCACTTATCAGGTCTTGAATCAATTCAATATCAGTTCAATAATATGTCACCATACTAGCTCACACGATTCTTTACAATCACTCTGCTATAATAAACTTCTCATTACTTTTCAGAAGAAGAAAATGCGTCCTGGCTGGGTGCTCAGTTGGTTAGAGCGTTGTCCTCAAACGCCAAGGTTGTGGGTTTGGTCTCTGATTAGGGTACATACAAGAATCGACCGATGAATGCATAAACAAGTGGAACAACAAAACTCTCCTTCTCTCTCTCTCTCTCTCTCTCTCTCTCAGCAACAAATTTTTTAAAAAAGAAAATAAAATGTGATGATTTTGAAATGATTCTTTTTCTCATGATGAAGTCATAGTGCAGCGGTTCTCAACCTTCTGGCCCTTTAAATACCATTCCTCATGTTGTGACCCAACCATAAAATTATTTTCGTTGCTACTTCATACCTGTAATGTTGCTACTGTTATGAACCGTCATGTAAATATCTGGTATGCAGGATGGTCTGAGGCGACCCCTGTGAAAGGGTCATTCGACCGCCAAAGGGGTCGTGACCCACAGGTTGAGAACCGCTGTCATAGTGGGTTCCAAGTGTTAACTACCAAACTCTTGTCTGCAGGCTCACACGCCTGTTTTAGATTCCATCCCAGTTCTTCTGGGGCCTGGAGTCCAGCTTTAAAGGTTGGAGAAGCCCAGCGTGTGAGTAATCTCCTAATTTAGATCCCCTAAGAGTGAGGTCGACCTTTCTCCCCAGTACCTCACTGCTGGTGAGGCTTAACTGAGAAGGAAGGGAGACGCTGTGATGCGAAGCAGGGCTTCTCAGACTCTGGTGGGCATCACGTCATCAGAGATCTTTTAAAAAAAACGGGTTCTAATTCAGTGGGTCTGGGGTGGGGTCCGAGACCCTCCATTTCTAACAAGCTCCAGGTGATCCTGATGCTACAACTCTGAGCAGCAAGACTCTGGATGTGGGGAACCGATATAGGGTTGAGCCTCGGACTGACCTGCTGGCAAAGTCACAAACAAGTCCCAGCTTAGAGGGCACAGCCCTCTTAGCATAATTACGCTTGACCTTATAACACTCCCAGATCTTACCTGGGAAGCTAAAGGGCTGAGGGAAGTGCAGGAAGTGTAACTATGGTCAAAACAGGTGAAACTCACAAGAACTGTGTAACTATGGTAACCACTGCCTTGTTTACCTCTGACTATAAAATGGTTGGTGCGGCCTGAGCACGGTGGAAGTCCTTCCTCCTTAGTTGGACTTACCCGCCTGGCCCCCCAATATTCCCAAATTATCTCCTGTCTTTTCCCTTTCGTGTGTGTGCCGCTCCTCTTCCAGATCCTGAATCCTGAACCACACGGGCCGTGGAGGGAAACATTTACAACATCTGGAGATGAGAGAAAACTTAAATCCCACTCCTTCCAGTGGAGTGTGCAAGGAAGTATCGGGTAGGCAGGAAGGGGAAGTTTTAAAATTGTGTCCTTCTGCTCTCCATCTCCTTACACTGGTGGCAGGATGGGTATTATGGAAAGTCAGACCTGGAGTCAGTCTGGGTTGGGTTCAATTCCGGATTCTAGTATCTACTGGCTGTGTGACCTCAAGCAAGTACTCTAACCTCTCTGAGCCTTGGTTT